AATTTTTACTTTCTCTTTGGAGTGTTACAAGCTCTTGTTTAACCTTAAACCGCATAAACACATTTCATTACACCAAATACACAAAATAATGTTCTTTTTAGCAACATCATTATGACCCCTTTAAATGCAAAGGGGTGGTCACACCAAATATTGATTTGATTTAGTTAATAGAAGTTAATTGCTAAATAAAATCTATTTATGACATTATTTTTGAAAGCTTTCTCACTTTACAGCATATTTACACAAGTGTCTGAAGCTTTTCACAGTATTGTAGCTTTGCAGGAAGGTTTCTTGAAGCGTCTTTGAGTCGTTGCCACAGTTCTTCCGGATTTAGTCTGTCTCAGTTTTTTCTGGTTCTTCATGTAATCCCAGACGGACTGGATGATGGTGCAAAAATCTCACTGGATTATTACAATTAATGGCCAAAGGAATGTTTGGTAATGTAAACTGATATTTCCTACTGACACACTACAGCAAAAGACAGAAATAACTGACTTAAAACCATTTTTTTGTTGAAAATACTACAGGTCTAAGACTTTCGCACAGTAGTGGATGTATATGTATATTTCATCTATTTTTTTATGTGTATTTGTTTTTTAGTTTCAAGGAAAAAAAAATAAAGTTCAAGTAAATCCATTCATAAAAATACATTTTGATCAATTTTTTTTTTGCCATAATTGAGCAACCCTACTCTCTGACATTATACTGAATCTGTCAGGCTTCTGATGGAAAGCACTTTTAATTGTTCTGTTTTTATGTTGTTTTTTTTTCCCAGTGTTTGGTATTGATTAGGCGTATAGGAGATCTTGTATTTATTTATATGTGGTTTTTCCACTTTAGGTGTAAAAATGTAATATCTTCTACGATTGTACATTAATTTCTAGAGGCATTAAAGGATGAGGAGTTCCTGGAGGCTGTGACTAGTGCTCTTCGCTCTCTACTACAGATCATGGCTACCAAAAACATCCCTCAGGTGAGAACCACATTCATTTATCATTTTATGCTTTAGCGATTCATTATTTCAAGCTTGACTTGGTATTTTTAACTGTATGTGTTTTATATGTTGTATCCTGCAGGGTATGACTCCACACCAGCTAATGATTTTTTGTGAGGCTGCCACTAGCTGTGAGCTGGTCAGTGTGAGAGTTAATGCTCTGGCCATTCTCGGTATCACAGGAAGCTCTCTTTCCAAAGAGAAAAACACAGCAGACACTCTACAGGTAATACTGACTGCGGTAGAAATATTAGAATACTATTAGCCATATTTATAGTGCCATTATTATGCCTACAAGAAATATCCACCTTATTTTTCAGCATGGAAGTTAGACTTTTTCTGTGAATGTGCAACACTCCCGGTTCATTAGCCGCTGTAG